AAAGGCTGGAAACTTTTGAGTTAATGTCTGAAGAGGTGATAAGATACTTTACAATCATGATTGGCACTATTGATAATGAGGTAAAAACTATTGATACTTCCTTGTTGAAAGAAATTCTTCAGTACACTGTGACCAATGATACTGCCCAAGACCTTGCTAAGGAAATTTCAAATGAGGAAATCAAGTCTGCTTTCTTCTGCCAAGGTAATGATAAGTCTCCTGGCCCGGATGGATATACTCCATACTCTTTCAAAAAAGCATGGAATATCATAGGAGAAGACACAATTACAGCTGTAAAACAATTCTTCTCTGATTCTTTTCTTCTTCCAGTGTTCAATGCCACCATTATAGCTTTGGTGCCTAGATCCCCAACCCAAGCAAAGTTAAGGATTTCAGACTTATATCATGTTGTTCTGTCTTCTATAAAGCCATCTCCAAAATTCTGGTTAGTAGACTACAGACCCTAATTCCTACTATCATTTCCCTCAACCAAACTGCTTTTGTTAAAGGAAGAAGCATAGTAGATAATACTCTACTTGCCCAAGAACTGGTTAGAGGATAAAACAGGAAGAATATCTCTTCAAGATGCTCTCTAAAGATTGATCTCCATAAAGCTTTTGATACGCTTAATTGGAATTTCATCTCATCCACTCTGAAAGCTATTGGCCTTTCAAGTACCTTCATTAACTGGATAGAACTCTGCTTTTCCACAGCAATGTATTCTATTTCCTTCAATGGGAGCTTAATTGGTTATTTCAACGGAGCTAAAGGCATAAGACAAGGTGATCCCCTGTCCCCGTTACTGTTTGTTCTCTCAATGAATATCCTCTCTGCACTTCTCAATTTATCAGCTGCTAGAGGCATATTTGGTTATCATCCTAAATGTAAAGGTATAGGCATTACTCATATATCTTTCGTTGATGATCTTCTAATTTTATGCAAAGGTACAACTGATTCGATAATTGGGGTCACTAGTGTTTTAGAGCAGTTTTATGAGATGTCTGGCCTCAAACTTAGTGCATCAAAATGTACTTTATATGCTGCTGGAATGCATCCTTCAATCCTTGAGGACATTCAACTAATCATTGGCTTTAAATGTGGTAATCTCCCTGTCAGGTACTTAGGAATTCCACTTGCCTCTATAAAAATCACTGAAAAGGATTGTGGGGTTCTCCTTGATAATATTAGAGTAAGGTTGAATCATTGGTCTGTTAAAACCCTAAGCTATGCAGGAAGGCTTGAATTAATAAAAGCAGTATTGTTTAGTATCTCCAATTACTGGTGCAGACAGATTTTTCTGCCTCACTCGGTACTAAACAAGATAGAGCAGCTTTGTTCACGTTTCTTATGGAAAGGAGCTGACAAATCTGCATCAGGTGCTAGAGTGAGCTGGAAGAAAGTTTGTCTCCTAAAATCCGAGGGTGGGCTCGGTATTAAAGACTTGAAGACCTGGAACAAAGCTTGTATGATTCACCTTATTAAAAACATTCTAGCAGGTGAAGGCTCTCTATGGGTAGCTTGGATTAAATATTATGTCCTAAAAGATAATGATTTCTGGAATATTGCCATTCGATCATCATATAGCTGGAGCCTAAGGCGTATCTTTAAACTCAGATCTGTGGCCTTTCCTATTCTCAATTCTGGAGCAGTGAAAGTTAATGATATTTGGGATGCTTTACGAGATCGACGACCTCCTGTCCTATGGCAGAAAATCATCTGGTTTCCCCTGCATATCCCCAAATATAGTTTGATTTCTTGGATGGCATTACTTGATAAACTTCCAACTAAGGATAGACTAAACCGGATGGGAATCACCACGAACTGCAAATGCGTATTATGCGATGATCCATGCGAAACCAGAGAACATTTGTTCATTCAATGCCCTGTGGCTGCTCAACTTTGGAACTCTGTTTGCTCCCTCTCTGGTCTTCAGATTACAATATGCTCTTGGGATGTTCTTATTGATTGGGCTTGCACACACTCGGACGGAAAATCACTTCTAGCTTCCATCATGAAGCTCGCATTTACTGCTCTTATCTATATCATTTGGGATGAACGAAATAAACGACTGTTTCAAGCCAGAACCAGAAATCCTCTAGATCTTATTCATGCCATAAAGGATGTAGTTGGTTTTCAATTGAGAGATAGAAAAATAAATAGGAATGACAGAGTTAATAATTCTCTAGCTGAGCATTGGGACTTATAGTGATTTTGATTTTTTTTTGTTAGCAGAATGCTCTTGTAACTAGTTGATTGTAACAGATTTGTTCTTGGGTAATAACAGAAAACGAAATTATCCAAAAAAAAAACAAGGATCTTCCAAGTACTTCTTGTTTAAACAAAAGAGATGGCATGAATAAAGGAATGGACAAACAGACCTTCAAGTACAGACACGGTCGCACGGATATCCACAAAAGACGAGGATTTCATTTCAACCATATTTGAGGTGAGATCAAAAAATGTTGTGGATCAAATTAAACTAATGTACATCTGAGGATTTGGTTAAGATGAAAAAAAAAGACGAGTACATAGCATTCACATTCATGAAAAAGTAAGTTTTCAGTTTATTGGTACAATTCACTTGTGTAAAAGTTGTGTAAAATCCCCCATACAGAGGCATAATACTACTTTGAATTACTAAAGGTCAAGACCTAGGGGATAAAAAGAAAAGCCGAGGCCCAAAGAGGTTATTGGTTCAAATCTCCCCACCCCATCAATGCAAGAGTATGGTTATAACATAAAAATCGTAAAACATATGACGACAATAATGATTATAACATTGATTACTATCCAATACACTGGCTATGGAAAAAAAAATATTTCACAAGCGGGTTGTATTGATGTCACCTGTCTTATTTAGGGTCCTATGGTTATAGATTCTGAGGTTTTAGGTCTACCTATGAAAGTTAAGCATTTTGATATAGAGAATATCATCAATGTGTTAACCGAATTTCACTACAATATTATACTCAGGTAGCATAATTAATTAAAAAAAACTAAAAGGAAAAAAATAACTCGGCACGATATAGTAGCAAATACTATACACACACACATACATTTATGCGAGTAAAGGTCTACCTGTACCTGGAATTAGCTGCCGATGAAGTGGAGCAATCACTCATAGTTAGATCGGTCCAGTAAGAGAGTGAGCGTATAGTTAGGCCGGAGATCTAAGACGGTGGAGCCGGCGAAATATGCGAAGATTGAGAGAAACCTAAGTGTTCTTCGCGTAGGATGAGAGTGAAAATCGGAGCCTGACTTCGCTGGCAGCTCCTTTAATATATTATTATTATTATTATTAAATTTTACGATATATAAATTGTTTGCTAGCCAGACTTGACAGTTGACTCCACCGACCGTCGGGCTGAAATTTTTGGACCGATCTGGGATTTGCAGGAATTCAGACCCACCGTGTTTGATTACGTGGCTCATTCTAATTGTAAAGGATTTAGAAAATGAGTTTTATTTGATATTTCAAAACAAATTTAAATTACTAACAGGGTTGGTTCAAGTAATAAAAAAATTAATATCGTTTAAGTAAAATCTCGAGTTTGAGTTATTGTGTATGTAGAAAATCTCTGTTGAAAGACTCACCCACCAAAAAGACATATGTGCGATGTGAGTCGGTTCAAATTATTCAAGACCAAACCTTGAAACCGTGAGGTAAAAAAATATATATACTTAAATAAAATATTAAACTAATCCATAAATTAAGTAATAAATTGTTTTTAAAAACTAATTTTAAACATTAAACAATCTCAATCCCATCTATACTAATTACGAGTTTAATTAGTGACTGAATTTGAATTTAATTGATATTATTAGTATTATTATATTATTTAAAAAGAGAAGAAAAGGAATTATTCAGAATTAACCTAAGACTTAATAACAATTAAGATTAAAACACATGTACAAATTACTTATCACTCTATGTAAGATTATCTATCGATAAATTTAATAAATATATTTTTATATCAAATATTTTGTTTCACTAATAGAATAAGTGTGAAAAAATCTTGTCTAGTTATAAGATTAATTAATTAAAAAAATATTTTTTAAAATATTATCCAATTTATATTATTTATTTTTTCTTGTAGTTTAAATAACAAATGGTGTCAAAATAAAATATAGATAATAAGAGGAAGAATTGAATTATATTTAAATTATAATATATATTAAGTATTTTTATTACCCTATAAAGATTAAAAAATATTATTGAAATCTAACGATAAATTAGTCTAAAAATTACTTCTAAAATTGTTATTATTATTAAGTGATAAATTATTATTAAAATATAAACAATAAATTAGTTTTAAATCTGCGCGCCCTCAAGAATAGGGTTGGATATGGATAGATTCGGATTTTCGGTTAATTATACCTGACCCGAAAATTATACACTCTCCATCCGATTCTGATTTAACTCAAAAAATATACATCATCCACCTGACCCGAACCCGATCCGACCCAAAATAATAATTATTTATAAATTATTTTTTTATTTAATAAAAATAGAAATTTAATTAAAAAATAATATATAGAGGACATTGTTGTAATTATCTATAAATATAAAGGTAAAATTATATGTTTTTCTCGGGTCGGGTATCTTTCACCCTAAATTTGAACCCGACTCAAATCCGATTTAAAAAATTAACCCGAACGGGTCGGGTCGGGTCGGGTCGAAACCTATCGGTTTCAGATCACATGCCTATCCCTACTCAAGAATTAGATGGTTGAACTCAAACAAACTATTCCGGTGATCAAAATATTAATGTCAAAAAAGTAGATGATCAAAACGTTAATAATAGTTAAGAGTTTAACGAATAGATGATTAAAACAAAACGTCAATACCTTAAAATTTAAGTGACGGTCGAAATATTAATACGCCAAAAACCGAGACATCATTCAAGTACTTTTAAATTCTAATTAAAAAAATTTAAATATTAAAATTAAATTTATAGTTTATGCATAACATAGCAATAACAATAAACAAACAAAGAATTTCAAGTCGAAATCGGAGAGGAACAAATTTGATTCTGATCAGTGCCACTCGTCGTCGTGGGTGTTAATTCCAAACCATAGACAAAACGACGGCAGAGCGGGCAATGCATATCCTGAACCAACCATTGATCTACGCAAAGTTGATGGTACAAATGTTTGCAACCGGCAAGGAACCTGCAAGAATCTCCGTCTTTGAATTCATCCAAGCATATAACACACTCGACGCAACTCGATTCCGTTTCCTCCCCACCCCTATACCGGACGATGATCCCGTACGTACTCGGTCTCGAAGCCTGCACGGCTCGGTCATCTCGTACAGAGTAGCTCGTTAGTCCGGCTTCGAGATCCCGATCCAGATCGTTGCGGCAATAAAATTTGACCGAACCTATCACCATCAATACAAGTAGCAGCGCCCATAATACAAACACAATCATATCAGGTGCCATTACCATGTTGAAAGAAATATATTCAAAGAACGGTACGTGACAATATGTTTTTTATAGGCGTATGTTTGCATAATTTGATGTTTATTAGGAAAACAAATTTAATATTTATGACTTCTTTATATGTAATTCCTACTCGTATTAGGGTTTGTATATTATATAAAGAATCAATATTTTATTTCAAAAGTGTTATATGTATAATTCCTTCTTGTATTAGGATTTGGATAGCATTAAAAATCAATATTTTACTACGCTTTCTCTTAATATTTAGTTTAGTTGTTGTACAATTACATGAACAACGTAGAACTTCACAAATTATGTATTTTATTTTATTGGTATTGGATATATTAATAATATATGATTTTATTTTTTAAAATTAGATTTATTTAAAGTATTTTTTGATGAGATGTCATTATTTAATTTTGTTAATAAATTATAATAATTTGATGATGTCTTGAAGGTTAATAAATTAAATCACATATTTTTTATGAAAAAATCTCTTTTAGAAAAAATAAAGAAAATATAATATTTTTTAAAAAAAGAAGTATTTATGTCGTATCAACGTGTAAACGTCCTCGTTAATGATAATATCATAAATACAAGATAGACAATTATGTTTAAAATATAACAAGATGAAAATAGTACTGGAGGCGGAATACTCGAGATGGTGTGCGCTGCCTTTGGCAGATCGTCAAATGCATTGGACGCGAATGTGGCTGTGCGCGTCCAACAAACGATGGGCTTCAACTAGGTAGAAATTGAGCATCGAAATGCATGTATGTGTCATGATTCTTCAAATGTCGAATAACATGAGGATAAACTAATTCAACCGCTAACCGAATGCTATAAGTGAGGGCATACGCCTCCATAACACCAACATCATCGGATCAGCACGATCAACAACCATGACCATGAGAATCACAAGCAAGGAGGCCAACAGCCGAAGTACCTGCTGCCATTAGACAAGCACCATCAACATTAATGTTAGCAAGTGGTTTCATCCAATGATTTGCGAATGAAGAGGAAGCTACAACATATGCTGATAGAATCTGTTGCACGTCCAGGGTGGACACTACCCTTATGAACGAACACATTGCGTCTATGCAATAAATTCCATAGCAACACATTGCCATCTGGGGAGGACATTACCCTGATGCTGATAGAATCTGTTGCACGTCGGGACAGTCTGGTAACGCATGCAGAACGGTCTCATCTGTCGCACCACATATGTAGCAGCGACCATCGGCTACATTCGCAAGTGACAACTGGTAACCGATGAAAAGGGCCTCATGTGTTGCCCTTCAACCAAACAACATAATCTTCGGTAGAGTAGGCAAACAAGACAAGTAATTTCAAAGTTTTGAAACTTGCACTACGTCTCGACGTTGGCGCATAAGCTAATGATAGCCGGAGTGAACAAAGTATGCTCCAAAAGAGTGACCACTTGTTAAGCATTGCAGTAGGCAAAACTTGAAACAAACAGAATACCAGAAAATATATTTCATTAAGCGTGAGTTATACATCACCTAGCCTTAGCTTCTTATAGCAGGTTCATAACAAAATTTAACAAACTACTGCTTCTAGAATAGTTTCCTAATAGCCTTGACAATTTACACGTGGATAGCACCCTCAGCTTCCTTATGTATCTCAACATTCTCTCCGCTTCTTCTTCTTCTCCTCTTCTGACCATTAGCACACTTGCACTCCAATCTTTCCTCTTCATCCTCTTTTACCAGTTCAACAAATCACTTCAAATGCTGCTTGATGAAAAAACTAATTTCTAACATTCAACCTTCTTGATGAAAAGATGAACAATTAAATCGAAAGTGCTTATGCTTCCTCCCGTTCACTTGAATCGAAAGTGTCGATGCTTCCTTTCGTTCTTCTTATTCACCTTCATTTCTTTCCTCTTCATCCTCTTTTACAAGGTTCCTTGACGTTTTTTTTAGCGAATATACTAATCTAATTGCAATATCAAATTAAGAGGAAATCAAAAGAACAAGAATAGATCTAAGAACTGGTAAATTTGGTAACCGCTTTGGTTCCTTAAGAGACCGCGTGTTTAGCCAATTCACCAGGCAAAACCAGAGATATTGACTGCACCAGAATGATTCACAACCACTAGAGCAAAAGCTTGAGCAACGTTAATACTAATGCTCAGGCCATCAAATCGGTAAAAACTTTGCTGCTGAAGCTCAACATCAAGAAGACTCGACACAACGCCATCAAACGTGACAGGGTTTCGGCTAACGGTAACCACAGCAACAAACGAACGATATTCAGTTGGTAACCCACTCAAGATTGTAGGAACCTTCTCGTGCTTGAACACCAGACTCCCACACGCGGCCAAAGCGTCACAGATTTCCTTGACTTGAGAGATATAAGAACACATGCTCAACTCTCATTTCTTAACCGCTTTCAACCGATAATGCAGATTCATTATGGTAGTGGTGGATTTACTCGTAAAAAAATTGTTTACGGCTGACCAGATCTCCGTTGCGGACTCCGCCCCAACCAACTGAGGAAGAAGCGATGGACTAACAGTGAACAGAAACCACAACGCTAAAGCACTATCTTGTGCAATAAAAACCTCATAATCTTCGTTTTCCACCACTCTCCCGTCATCAAGGATCACTGTCTGAGGCGGCGGCTGAACCAAGCCATGCAACAGCTTCTCCAATCGGTGATTACGAACAACGAGAAGAATCTGTTGTTTTCTCAACAAGAAGTTGAGTTCATCAAGAACAATACTAATCTTCTTGTTAGTGAACAGCTTGGAGTGAACCACCGTTTCACCACCGGAGGTCGCCGTATCCTCAGAACTAGCTCCATGAACCATGTTGTGAGTGAAAAAATAAAAAACGGAAGCACCAGGAAGTACCAGAATCGACTGCGAATGATACCATGTTAAGCATTGCAGTAGGCAAAAAAACTTGAAACAAACAGAATACCAGAAAATATATTTCATTAAGCGTAATTTATACATCACCTAGCCTTAGCTTCTTATAGCAGGTTCATAATAAACTTTAACAAACTACTTCTAGAATAGTTTCCTAATAGCCTTGACACTTTACACGTGGATAGCACCCTCAGCTTCCTTGTGTATCTCAACACCACTCCACACTAGAACATCAGACGCCATTGAAGATATCGAACAATTGAGGATGACAGCAACATCGAGCAAAATGAACACGTGATGAAACCAACTCACATCCCATAGGACAATGTCGGAAAGCATAAATTCACCATACCGAATCGGATGAAAGGCATTATCCAAGTACCGTGACACAGAATGAATTTTCTTTTGAATTAATAATAGTTGTTAATTTTATTGAATAAAGATAAAATGCAATAATATTTAAGAATAGTCTACAAAAATCAGGATAGGCTAATTATATTAATGGATCATTTTCCTTAAAACTATCAGGATGCACACATTAACCACTAAAGAAATAAAATAGAGTCACCAAAGGAAATGGTTAAAAACCTAATTGAACAATTTAGACAAATTATACATATAAACAAATACTATAATCGATAATGAAAGATAAACACTATCAAATAAAAAATAGTTATAATTCTCGTAATCAGATCAAACTAATGGATTGAAACATAAATTGATTAGTAAACTAAAATCCTTCACGAACTACACGTGCTTGTTTTTACATTGGAAACAATGAAAGATTATTTCACCGTATAGATAGCAATTGTGATGGTAGATCCGACAAATTATTTCATGGACCCTTTCCACCATATCATTAATAATTCTAACCAATTAAAAGAATGCATGTCAATTTTTTTCCATGTCATTTGTTCATATAAATTTTACTTTCCAAATCAAATTCTTCATTGAATGCATATCACAATTAAACTTAAATTTAGCAATTATTTTTAGGGTCTTAAAATCCGAGACCATGGCTTCTAAACATATGAGAAAATTTGAAAAAGAATTAAAGATATTAGTATCTAACATTCACATTTCAGAACCGCAGCGAAATTGGAGCCAAAGATCACTGAAACAGATGAAGGAAAAGTTAGTTTGGGGACAAGAATTCTTCAAGTAGGAGGGGTGGAGAAAGTTTTCAAACAATTGTTTAGTGTTAGAGATCAACATCAGGTTCTATAGTTGTGGGTTTTTGCAGCGATAGATCCATCAAAATATTTTTTCCAAATGAAGATTTTCTCAGAGTAGATTACGCATAACGATTCCCTCTCAAAGTAGATTTTTTTTCCAGGTAATTTCTAGTAATGGTGCTGTTTGGGCCGATATTGATGCAAGTTTTGGTCCTCTAGAGAAAATAAAGGGAGTGAACGAGGGTGAAAACGTAAAGAAGCAAAGGTACATGAAAATCATGAGAGTCACGATTTCAATTTCATGGTAGGGGGTTTATTCTCAATTTTGATATGTGTTGTTGAAGAAGAAAATGGAATTAAAAAGACCCTACAAATAATCTTTAAATTTAAGTTAATTGTGATACGTTAGAAATTGATTTAGAAAATAAGATTTATGTGAATAAATGATATGGAAAAAAGATTGACATGTACTCTTTTAATTGGTTGATGATGTGGTAAAAATGATCAATTAAATAACTTCACGGTAGATATGGATATTTGCGGATATTTTTCTTTATTTAATTTAGATATTAAAATAAATATTCATAGTTTCTTTCTGTTATGTAATCATACTTTTCAATATATATATATTTGTAGTAATTTTGGAACTGATATATTAATTATACTTCTAAATATTTATTATCCAATTTTCAATGTTAAAATAATTTACGATTTGATTAATATATTTTAAATGGACCAGACATTAAATTTGAATTGATGGCTAAGTTTTCGAACTAATTTAGACTTGACTTGTAAGTGAACGATGATGTGCAGGAAACATGGGGTTTTGGTTTGCTGGGCCTCATGATTTGCATTATTATTTCATCTGCTTCCACGATCATATATCCTACTCGCCATTTAAAAATATCGTGGAACTTAGAAATAAATCACGTTTTAACGTTTTCGAATAATAATTATTATTGATAATCTTACATTACTCGAATTAAATACACCTAATTGAAATGCCAGTTGAGAAAATGACGAATGAGGATTGATGCAGGGCATTTGTAAACAACGTTTGCCGCATAAAATGATAGCCAGCAGCGTAAATAAAAGTTCACATCGGACTCACACAAGTCTTGTAAAAAGGTAAAAGAAAAAGGTTCAAATCCTTGAAATCTGGAGGGGAAATGTGGGTTCTAATAACGCACCATCATCCCTAAAGATCAGTGGAGCCTTCTTTTGAAGTTACCTAATCTCTGTAAGAGATGGCTCTCACAGTTTCGAGCAGCCATGATTCCGGAAGCGTAGGCTCCGTGCACCGACCCTGAGTGTTCCTCGCTGACTGCTTCCCCTCCAAAGAAGAGATTGCCGAAAGGTGCTTTAAGCTTCTGATACAAATCTCCTGCCATCCCCACCGGATCATATGAATAACAGCCAAGGGAGTCTCGATCTGTTCCCCAATGGGACACGAGATACTGAACCTGTTTTCGCATTTTATCAAATTCAGATATCAGCTCACACCTTTCTTAGGAGACAATCAAACCATTATAAAAATAGAGGAAACTAGAACAAGAAGACAAACCGGGTAAGATTAGAGCATTAGTAATTCCCTGAAAACAAACCTAGTCTAGTATAGGGGATATCTGGTTAATGAATAAATTAGTAGCTGAAAATGATTATATTTACCGGATCAGATGCATCAGGAAACATTTTCTTCAACTGCAACATCACAAAGTTAGCGGCATACTCATCAGAAAACTTCTCGAGATCATCAGCAAACCTTCCGGCGGCCATATAGACGAGAACAGGGTTGCCTGTTGCTTTGTGAAGATTGAGAAAATAACCACAAGAATAAGAAGTGGGTGCAACAATGCCAAGCAGCTCAACATTCGGCCAGAAGACTCGGTCAAATAGTAAGGCAATCTTGTTTTCGTTACCAACACCGATTTCGGAAATGGCAGCAACCTTCCACTCTGGCAATTTTGGTTCAAACTGAATCAAATTGCCTTTAAGAACACCAAGGGGAACAGTTACTAGAGCTGCATCAGCAACGAGGCTCATCCCGTCCTCAATATCGACTACCACCTTATTGTATTCTTGGGAAATTTTAGTGACCCTACTCATCAACATCCAAAAAAGAATCAAAACCTTTGTTGCCTGAAAAGCACCATAGATAACTTTCATGTTTAAAGAAACAAAGGGCCATTCTATATGCTACACAATGATATTTACAATTCCCGACAACAAAATTAACATGCTGAGCTATGCACGTGGAGATCACAGTCGCTCAACTATGCAACAACCAAGTAAATAAATTGAAATTTGAGTAAATGTACGATCAAAACCACAAAATTTTGAAATGGATAAATGAAGAGAACGGAGAAAAAAAATGAAGGGTGAGCTTAAATGGAGAAAAAGTAAAGCAAATTTTTAATTATTAGCAAGACTTATTTGGTACCTGAACTATATAGCAAAATGTGGTTTTGCATCTAAAGTTTAAAATGTGCAATAAAGTGCTCAAATTTTGCTTGTCTACCAGATTGCATATTATACAACTCCAACTAAGATTAAGCATAGCATTGTCAATCTTCACCACATCAGTGCCACATCATTATCAAGTAATCGAGTGGGTTGAGGATATGCCATACCTTACCACCAATGGTGAAAGCAATCTATTAAGTGGAAGTAAAGTTCAAGTACTGTATTGCACATTTTTATATTCAGGTAACATGTCAAACAGGTAACCATCTTGGTTCATAATAAACTCTGTTGGTGCCCAAACTACATAATAAACTCAGTTGGTAATTAATATGAGAAAACGCTGAATCTAATTACTAATACTATACTAGTAAAAGAGTCTCAAGCATAGTTATACGCTTTGTCTCTAGACTAAATCTCTTTGGTATGAGGAGCACAATATTCTTTTAGACGCATTAAAACATTTAATGGAAGCGAACCATTTTGATGAACCAATCATTACCTGTGATTCAAGCGTACATCAATATCTTTAGCAAGCTCTTTTATTATAGGATCGTAACCCTTCACCATAAGTCCATGGCCACCCAAAAGAACATGTTCCTGCACAGCACAAATCAGCAACAACAAGGTATTTTAAGGTAATATAGAAATAGCCCCTCCTTAAAGTTCAGTACGGTAGATTTTCAATGAGGACACAAACACCAAGAGAAAAAAGAAAACAAAATCGGAATTTTCTAAAATAACAAGCATATGAAAAGAGCACCACCCACTAAATTTAGTATTGTTAATAATATGCAATTACAAGGCAACTCTCCACAAATATTTAGCTGTTTTTGTAACTCATTCCAACTTAACAACTAGCTTACATGCAAAGTTGAAGATTGTTATCATGTTTACAAGTAATAGTTACACCACATCAATAAACAATATTATCAAGTTTTCACCAAGAACAGCAAAATACTAGAGTATGGTGGCTACACTACAAATACTTGCCTGATCCCAGCATTTCAAGGATATCATATCTGCATCTGCAGCAAACCATGCTTCCATTCGACATATGTACCACTGCATCACTTCATAGGCAAGTCCTTCTTGTCTAAAAACAGTAGGATATGTCAAATTGTCAATGACACTAAGTAAAACCAGGTTTATCGATAAAGAAATGAGATAGAGATGCCAAATACAAATACCTTAATTCAGGGTGCCTCTCTAACACAATTGATATTGCTTGATGGACTGACATGTCTTTGGAGTGTCCATCCCTTACTTTCTCAGTCTAGAGGAATAAATAAAATGAAAAGATTTTCTCATGACATTAGAATGCCCACTTATAGCCAAGATAAAATGAAAAGATTTTCTCATGTATTTGATACAATACCTCTTTGAGTATTCTCTTGAATACATCTCCAACTGCAACAACCATCTCTTGTGGAACTTTACGGCCATCCATATCAAAAAGTGTATAACTGATAAAAGTAAATTTAGATCATTACAAAAAAAAGAAAAGAAAAAGATAGTTCAAACTATAACAATGGAAGATATGGCTGCATGTTGGTTTTCATGCTGTACATAGAGATTTAACCCATGAAAGATCTATTACATGTTAAAACTATCACCTTTGGTTAATAGTAACTAATTAACACGTTCAGAAAGTGATATTAAATAAGAGATTAAAGTGGCCAACTGTTTAAAGGGAATAAAAGAAAAGAGAGATGGTAATGAATTAGGAACCAACACCAGTATAATGATGCAAATACCAATTGATGAAAGCCATGAGCAACATGAGAAGAAAAAAATCAATAAAGAAGACGAGCACAATATTGGTATAACCGATATTGTCATTTATCAGAAAGAATCACACATGATATCGACAGCATTTTAGAAACACATAAGCATAAAGTTATGAGAGATTACCTTTCCAAATCATGGTCATACAACACAGAGTTGTCACCACTAGTACGGTACAGTTTAAGACCCAGAGAGCATATTAAAGGAGCTAAGGGATTCTCATTGCATACCCCGTGTAGCCTGAAATATCAGAATGATAATTAAAAGACAGTCCATACATTCATTATCTCATATCAGCTTCTTCGAACACTCGGATCTTGGCAAATAAAATATAACTGACAAGGGGAAATATAATTTTGATGCTAGCAAAGAAGTCTGGAGAACCCTCTTTCATCGATTTAATCCTTCCATAGTTCACACTAGTACCCAATTTCAGATCAGCTCAAGTAATTTGCAAACAATTTAAACCAAATATCTCACATCTGACAGAAGATGAAATCTAACATTTCCCAGGTTTCATTCAATAGAATTGTAGAGAAACATCAAGACCTAAAGCCTGTTAAAGAAAAAGAATGAGAAAGAGATGGATTACCATGAAGCTCCCATATCCACAGGGCAACCAAAAGTGTAATCAGTATGGATGCGGCCACCAAGTCTTTGCCGCGATTCCAGCAGGATTACCTGACGGAAAACAAAAAGTTCATCAATTGACAGCAAAAAACAACGATCAAAATAAAAACAACAACAATATAGAATTATTACCTTAAAAGACGCATCATTGAGAGCACGTGCAGCAGCAAGGCCAGAAATACCACCTCCGATCACAATAACAGAAGGAACAGCCGGCTCCTTCTGCCTCTCAATGCCTGATATGTATATACAAACATATACATAAGAATTGAGCGCAGAACTCATAAATCAAAATCAAATAAGCTGTGGATTATCAGAAAGAGATTAATAACCTTGGTAGCGAAGCAGATCCATGGATTAGAAAAGAAAAATTTAAGGGTGTATAGGAGTGAGGAAATTAGAAATCAACGTGAAAGAATGGAAGAGAAGTGAGATTAAGATGCCGGCAATGAAGCGGCTGAGATTGGAGGAGGAAGAGGAGCAACACGGCTTGTTCAAGGCGTTCATAAGGAAATAGAAGGGTACCCAGAGGCTGGGACTGGCATAGATTATGGTTATATTCAATATAGACAGTAACAGACAGCGGGCGAAGCTGGTGGAATAGGGAAGCCAATGGCCACGGAAACGGCGACGGAGACGGCGGATTTCTCCTTTATCTTTCTTCCACGAAGACTAATGCAAATCAATCTCTTCCTCGCACAAATACACCACGGCTAGACCATAAAACGATATATATATAGTACAACTAGTCCCTCGGATGATCATTGAAGGGTCGTTTTGCAATAAATACAAATTTGAGGACCTCACTGCAAGTTACTAACAATAAATAAATCAATCAATCAAGGGATAGATTTTTTTTAATGGAGGGTAATTCTGAAAATTAAACTTTAGAATGTTAAAGCTTTTGTCTTTTCATGAATAAAAGATCAATGATTTTTCCCCGTTTAATTCTATAAAGGTAAATTTTAAAAACTATTAAAAAAATTAAGTCAAGTCAAGCTAATATTTATATATTTACTAGAAAAATTCTATTTTATAGTTTTAAATTATGATTTATTAATTTTATAAGATTCGATTACATATATTTTGATTTTATAAATATTTTATATATGTTTATCGTAATTTCATAAGATTTTATTAACAATTCAATTTAATTTTATAAAAGAATTGTAAAATAAATGTTCGGTTCAAAGAAATTATTTTAAACTTTAGGTTGCTTAAAAACTCGTAATCTCAGTTTTGTAATACAACTGTATACTTATCGAATAATTTTTATATTTTTCATAATATTTGATTTGAATATAGTATTTTATTATTATCTTGAGATAATATTTTGAGTTTATTTTCGTGTAAATATCAGACAACTTACTGGTTATACATGATATAACAATCAACCCTCGTGATACTCATTTAATGACGTCACGTGCTGGTATTATATTTTATTATTTCGTATTATAATTTTATTTTAAGATTTATTTGTATATTTTTAATATGTTGGTAATTAGTACTATGTAAAACTTTATATATTGTATCGCATTAATGAAAGACAAAATGAGTTTGAATTAAAATAAAAGTAAAAAAAATAATATACATATTTTAACTAAAACTTAAATTTAGTATACTAAAATCTTAGCAATAAACAAATTAAAAATATATACATATATATATATATTACCGATATAATTACTTAAATTTTAATTTTTTTAAAAAAAATAATATAATAATTTTATTATTATTTATGTCAATGAATTAGTCGAATACGATAATTAAATTTACGTAACTCAAAGAGAATCTAACTATGAAATAGATAGGTAGGTCGGTCGAACCAATTAAGCTCTTGCACATGCGTGACAGATGGTTGCTGGATGTACCAAAGTATGAGTATGTTTTTATTTTTGTGTTTTATGTCACAATGCCGACATTTTACCATTTTTTTACGTAAGATTTTTATTGTTTCCTCCTAATAAAGTCATTTTTTAATTATGAATATAATGATTTCGGTGATAAAAAATTATTATTATTATTATTTAAAATTTTATATTTAAGCACTATAAATATCAAGGATGCTAACATTTAATGGTAATAAATTTAAAGTTTTTTTTAAACGTATACTACCTTATAATCTATTTTTTTAAAGTTTGAGTGTCCTATTTCTTTCCATTTAAAGTTTAGTATAAAACAAACCAATATTATTAACAAAAATAAATGATGGGTAGTTTGAGAGTATAAAACTAAAAATTTAATGGTTTAAATATCTATAAATTACTCTAAAAAGCGACTTAAATTGTAAATAAAATTTTGGGGGAAATGAAGAAAAATCACACTTGTTATAATCTGTTTGAATATTCTGTGGTTTGTCCAAAAAAATTAATAAATTATTTTGTTAATAAAAATATCATAAATAAAACAATGGTCCAATCTAGGCCTTTTAGACAAGTGGTGCTGACAGAGATGCTTAGCATAGCAGCCTTAGCTCGCAAGCTCAATAGATTGACAGAGAAGACAAAATTGTATGTGAAGGCATTGCGTCCTACTTCCATTCTCTCCAACTCTACCATTCCCCTTTGGGATAAATCAATATATAATCCCTCAATTTCTTAATTTATCAACTTAGTCCTTTAAACTTTTTTCCGCATCCAAAATTTGACAATTAAAATTAAATTTTATTAAGGTGTGATGACATGGAACTATGAGATAAACATTTTAAAAATGTATATATTTTTTGTATATTTTTAAATTTTTTAAGTGACGACGTAATGTGGTCGCATAATTTCATATCATCGTATAAAGTTTATATCATAATTCGATAATTAAATTTAAAAATAAAATAAAAAGTAATACTAATGTTTATAAAAATTATAACTTCAAGAAAAATTATTGAATCCGAACATTAATCTCACTTTTGGTATATAAATAATAGTATAAGGAAAATGTTTAATAATTATACGACTTTTAAAATAATTTATCTACCAATGAGGTTAGTTCAAGTGGTAAGCAATTTGATATCGTTTAAGTATGTCTCGAGTTCGAGTAATTGTGTATGTAAAAAATCCCCGTTGGAGACTCACCCACCAAAGTCATGTGTGCAACCCGGGTTGGTCCGAATTAATCAAGACCAAGCATTGAAAACCGGGAAAACAACTAAATAATAATAATAATTTATCTAATATAAAGAAAAATGGGTATAAAATGAAATTTCAAGCCAGAAGCATGAGTAAATACCCGGATAAAAAATAATATATATTCAAAATAAGAAGTATATAGTTATTGTATTTATTCTAATTAAACCATATAAATAATTAAAACTTATCTAACGACTGTAATTTATTGTTAAATTATACAATAAAACACAAGAAACCAAGATTCAAAACGTAACATAAAATTTATTTTACCCCTTCTTTTGAACACCGCAGCAGAATCTAACGGCTGATTCTCATTGGCCTACTTTGTTGCTTTAAATTAATTAAAGGACCAAAATGGAAGTTTTTGGCCATCCAACGTGGGATGGTGCAATTATTTGTTCAACCACTCCACCAAGTTGTGCGTAGGGCATGCAAGCACAAACAGATAATGAATATCTTATTAAATTTAATATATAAAAAAGATATTATAAATATATGTTTTAAACAGACTAATAATAAGAGAAAATACATACAAATACGATAAAAATCCACAAATAATCTATAAGAGTTTGTGACTCTAATTCTATTTCACCTGTTTTAAAAGTTAATCAATCCATTTAATGAAAAACTAATTTCACGGGAAAAAAATATAAGAATATGTAGTGAATGCTAGTACCGTGTCCATACAACTATATATATAAATATATAGTAATCTATGTAAATCTGTATATTATTATCTTTTTTTGTTGTTTTACGATTGTTTGTTCGCTGTTGATCAATGGACATATAATTTGTGTATTCAAATATTTATTTGAAGTTTATTATAAATTTGTGTGGTATATTCGAAAAGTGTTGTTATCAATGCGTAGTGTTGTTGCTGATTACGTAGAGCAGCTGGAAGCTGCCCACCAGCTTCGTCTCCATCGGATTCGGTTCATGCACGGCATCGGCAAGATGGTCAAACCCGACTGCTCCTCTTACTTAATCATATGCAAATAGAGACAAATGGAGAAATTTTGAAGAAGAAAAAAAAAACACCCACCCAAATAAACGGTGCATTTAAGGGACAAAAGATCTTTTTAAGAATATTGATTAACATAATGTACCAAATTGAGGTGGTCTGGGCGTAACATAGTGGACAATGTTACGATGGAACCAAAGACGATTTTGCTAGGCCCGAAATATAGATTCGAATAGGGTTCCTTCGTAGACCCAACCTGCTTATTTGTATCTATAAATCAATCATACAAGTGCACTCTTTTTTCACTCTTCCAAACAAAGTAAAATATCCACACCCATCTCACTTCATCAAATCACGTAACCAGCTCTTTTTCAAACCACCTAAAACAACTTCCACATCTCCAAAAGAAAAACTCTGACCAGATCCGGTTTGGACTCATCAGGATTAGGAAAATTATCATCCCTAACAACTGGTTTGGTAAAATTATTTTTCTTATCCCCTCGGAACTATAAAATTTTATCAAGTAAAATGATAAAATTCCTCTTGCCGCCACTTAGTTTAAAAAAATCTATTCGATTCCAAAAATTGTATATGGTTTTAGTTAATAAAATGGTAAAACTACTCTTGACCCTCATAAAAAACAATAATTCAGTCTCAACCCCAATCAAAAAATTTCTGACTTTACCCCTATTGATAGCTCTTAAATCCCAAGACTTCTTATTCCATGCATGAAAACCTCTATACCAAAACATACATTAATATCAGATCATTATACTATTGAAAACAAGTTATCAATGCAGACGAACCAAACAACAACACAGAAGGATCTGACAAACAACAGAAATATTAATAATAACCAAAGTTGAAAATTGGATTCATTCCTGGAATATCAAGTGCAGTAAGCCTAGATATCACAATATTATACCTCTCATTTCCCAATGTATTAAAGTGAGAGCTTATGCATCATTGATGAAAGAAAACAATGTTAAAAAAACAGGCACAAACCAGAAATAAAGGCAAAACCAAAGTAGAGCTTAGATAAAGAAACTGGCTCATTAGTTTAGCTTAGATGCTAACCAAGTTTAAATTCCTAAACCATCCTTTAAGGTAACTCTAATACAAAACACTGTTTCCCAGAAGGAAGACTTGTGTTATCCTACCAGCCCATACTCAACCAGTCAAGTCATGTTTTCAATCAGAGTAAACCTCCCCCAGGACACAATCATATTAATGTATCATACAATTTACTTGAATATGCCAGATAAGGTTTCCTAAAATAATACCAGTAAAGTAAGCTATTGGCTATTATCTTTTAAAGATAAATGTTAAGTGGCGCCTACCGAAACAGGTTAAGATGATTTATTAAGGATAAAAAGAACCAAAATACAACCAAATGTTAAGACACAACATTAAAGTCACATACATATTAACTGAATAACTTAAGGTTTGCCAAAACAATATTGGCAAAGTCGGCTACTGGTGCCTACTGAAACAGGTTAAGGTGGTATATAGAGGAGGTGCACCACCATAATCTACCCAACATATCAGCAGCTTCGTTTGTTTCATCTGCCAGACAATGTTACGCCAAAAAGTGCAGATAGCAGTCGATGACTGATCCGACAAATCATTGATAGGAACCAATCAATCAAATGAAAAAAATACAAGATTAACATACAAAAATCAAGGGCAACAAGAGAGTAATAATCATAATCTTGAAAGCCTAATGATAGATATTCCATCACTATACATAGAAAGCCTGTAAAATCAACAATCACAAGACAACACACATGATAACAATATAGACGTTATTATTGCAAAGCAAACAGATTATGGCAGCAAGATCAACAATTGAAGCATCAAGTACCACATATCTCACCAATTTCAAGGGTAATTCACCTATGGTTTCATTTTGTTTTGCATTAAAAAAAGAAACAAAAAAATGGATCTATTGCAAATGAAAGAAACATTGAACAAAGGAAACGTAATACAGCATCCGAAGGAGTCTTGCAGTAATGATATTTAGATTACACTTTATCAATAGGATTTAAATAAAATGTGTAAACATAGATATGTGTTTATCCAAACGACAACAATAAATACACGATTCTTATTCAGAATAAAGACTTAAATATACATATAATTTGATCAAGGGTTTTCCTTAACGTTAACGGTGGGAATATTTACATACCCAACCTTCTTCGGGCTAAGTTCTCCGTCGCTCTCATCTTCCTCCAGAAAAGCTTGATGATAATCAGACCGGTAGGAGAAGAAGGTCCATACCAAGTAAAGGGTGGCCGCCGTGAGAGCGCCGCAAGCGACTCCAAAGAGAAGAGCGACGACTACGCTGAGGATGTCCCTACTGCGCTCACGGAGGGAGCTGAAGACATCGGACGACTTGGGATCGGATGGTTTGAGACTCAATTGGCTAATCTCGGTGACGACGGTGACGAATCCGGTGGAGGCGGAGGAGGAGGAAGGATAGTTAGGGTTTTCAAAAGAGAATGAATAGGAGGTGACGAAGAAAGTCTTGCAAGGTCTTGCGGCGGCCGATACTGAGAGGTGGCCGAGCGCCAGAATCGTCGCCGCAATCGCACATTGACTCCACTTTCCCATTCTTCCTTCACGGCAATTTCTTCGGATTTTACGATTACAAATTTGCGATCACAATTCCAATATCTAATTTTCTCCCCCTCCAAATTTATTTATACCCATGACATTAAATTTGTTCGTCCACTTTGTGTACATTTGCACATTTGTCCTTATACTATTCCAAATATACAATATAGGTACTTGTATCTTCCTAAAGTAACAATTGCAGTCACAAATAATTTTTTTTAATGTGGATGCATAAGCCATTATATCAAGAGGAGATTATTCTGTCATGAGGGGCCGTAACAATTTCTATGGAGAGCCCTATATAAATAATTTGACGCAACACCATAAACGCAAAAGTAATATGTAGAAGAAGAAGAGTTCTTGGTGAATTTGTCGGCTGCTTCGTTAGCTTCACGTCGGATGAGAGCAATATCAACCAATCAAGCTTTGTTGATTGTAGCATTAATGACTCAGATGAGGGAGCAGGGGCTGCCTGAAGGGTTGGAAGATAAGAACTTAAGAACATCAACACTATCAGTTTGGAGCGAGATTTCCTCCAAGTTATTGGACCAAGCCAGCTTTAGATTTTCATAAACATCCCAAAGTTCAGCTTGAAGCACAAAGATGATTCCAAGTTACTTGTTGAATCTCAAGATGAAGCAAAGATGATATTTATATTAGCCAAATCGAAAAAGAGGGATCGTGAGATAGACCCCGATATCATCGAACTTCATTTGTTAAAAGTTTATTTTGCATAGCAAACCAAATAAAACGTCGAATTCATTCCGGCACAGCAAGCTTCCATACTAAGGACCATTAGGGATGGTTTTCATTCCAACGATCCTTTGTGCTTTCTGTGTAAAGTCTCTTGACAGAGAATTGTGGGTTAACTCCTGCATTCCAAAAGCATAAGTCACTGCCATTGGATTGTGATGGAGGATGAATGCTATAGAAATGAGGGATAACCGAGGGTTTTAGCAAGTGGTGAAGAAGAGACCAATTCCAAGTTTGTCACAAATAATTTTTTCAAGATACAATTACAATTAGTAACAATACATGGGAATCTTTTAGCCAACAATTAATGGAATTTATGTAAAGCTCCATTACAATAAAACCTTCCAATTTTTATCTGTTGGGAAATAAACGAGTAATAAGTAATTTCCCTATAACCGGATTAGTGAGAATGCGAAATAAAAAAAAAAATAATACCCAAAAAATTGATAACGGAGTTCAGCCAATTGTGCCTACGTCTCTGGACTGTTGCAGATCTTTTACTAAGAGAGAAAATTTACAGGTGTTTACAAAATACTCACTACTCACAAGAAAGCTATCTAGTATTGGGAGAAAGAAATGATTTTTGGGATGATTTTGAAGCTGAATGGGTTAGGGTATTTATAGTTGAAGCTTAAGGACTAATCTTGTAAATACCCTATAGTGCAATGACTAAAATGCATTTATGCAATTTACCATTTTTTCAACAAAAATTAAATGCACCATTCGGTGCCTAACTTGCCACTTTCGGTGGCCACCCATTGCTAACTTTCCAACAATCTTCCACTTGAAGACTGATTTTAATCTTTCTTCACACCTCGATTAATGCAGCAGCATTTCTAGTCTTGTTATTCTAGCATGCCAACTGAAGCTGAACACAACTTTAGTTTGTCTATGGTCACCGTCTTTGTCAACATGTATGCTGGATTTTGAGCTCCATTAATCTTTTCAAGCTTCAAAATCCCATCTTCCAGAAGAGACCGGATAAAATGATATCTCAATTGTATGTGCCTCGTCTTGGAATGAAAAGACGGATTCTTTGCTAGATGAATAACACTTTGACTGTCGCATTACAAGACATTATTTTCTTGTTTCTTGCCTAACTCTTCCAAGAAACTTTGGAGCCAAACCATCTCCTTGCTGGCTTCCGTAACAGTGACATATTCTGCTTCAATTGTGGAGAGAGCAATTATCTTCTGTAGTTGAGAAATCCAACTCACCGCGGTTCCTCCTAGAGTATAGACATACTTTGTAGTGCCCCTTCTGATGTCAACAGTTCCAGCTAAGTCAGCATCTACATAGTCTGTCAGTATCGTATCTCCACCTTTGAAAGAAAGTGCTTTGTTTGTGGTACCCCGCAGATATCTGTGGATCCATTTGATTATTTCCCAGTGTACCTTGCCTGGATTATTCATGTACCTGCTAACAGTTCTCACTGTATGAGCAATATATGGTCTGGTACAAACCATGGCATACATCAGACTTCCAATTGTTGAGGCATACGACACCTTCTCCATGTGTGCACGTTCTTCCTCCGTCTTTGGTGACCGTTCTTTGGAGAGTCTAAAATGAACACCTAAAGGTGTACTTACTAGTTTAGCATCTTGCATGTTGAACATGGAGAGTACTTTGTTGATGTACTCAGCCTGTGATAACATCAAAGTCCCCGACTTTGTGTCTCTCTTAATCCTCATCCCAAGAATCTGCTTCGCAGCGCCCATATCCTTCATAGCAAACTGCTTCGACAATTTTTGCTTCAAGTTTATAATCTCTTGCATGTATGAGCCTGCAACGAGCATGTCATCAACGTACAACAATAAAATAATAAAGCTATTGTCGAACCTCTTGATGTAGCAACAATGATCTGCTTGGCATCTGGTAAAACCACTGCTACTCATGAAACTATCGAACTTCTTGTACCACTGTCTAAGAGTTTTTTTAAACCATACAAGCTCTTCTTCAACCTGCATACCAGGTTTTTCATACCTGCCTCTATGAAGCCTTCTGGCTGCCTCATATAGATTTCTTCCTCCAAATCACCATGAAGGAAAGCTGTCTTTACATCTAACTGCTCAAGATGTAAATTCTCTACAGCTACAATTTTCAACACCAGTCTGATTATAGACAGTTTTACGACTGGAGAGAAAATTTCATTGTAGTCAATGCCTTCTTTTTACTGAAAACCTTTAACAAACAATCTTGTTTTGTATCGTTTACTCCCATCGTTCTCTTCTTTGATCCTGTAAATCCACTTGTTATGGAGCGTTTTCTTGCCTGGTAGTAATTCAGCTAATTCCCATGTCTGATTTGACATAAGCGAGTCCATCTTATCTTTCATGAGAGACTCCCACTTGACTGAATCTTCCACTTGCTGTGCTTCATCATAGCACTCTGGTTCACCATTGTCAGTTAGCAACAAGTAGTGCAAAGAAGGAGAATACGGTTGGGTTAGTTTAGGAATTCTGGAGGAGCGTCTCAGTTCTGGTGTGCCTGGTTCTTCTTGAACTGCTTCAGGATTGATCTGAACATCATTTCTAGAAATCTCATCGAACTCAGCAAATTCCTTTGTTTCAACTTTGATATTGGAGCTACTTGGTTCTACAGTTGACCTCTCTTTGTACATCACATTCTCATTGAAAATGACATCTCTGCTTCTGATGATCTTTCAATTTTTGTAGTCCCAAAATCGGTAACCGAACTCATCACCACCATAACCAACAAAGACGCATTTGTTGGACTTGGCATCAAGTTTACTTCTTTCAGCAGAATCTATGTGTACATAAGAAATATAACCAAACACTCTTAAGTGTGAAAGGTTTATTTCTTTCTTGCTCCAAACTTCCTCTGGTATTCTGTCATCCAAAAGAATTGAAGGCCCACGGTTGATCAGGTAAGCTGCAGTGTTGATAGCTTCAACCCATAGAAATTTGGGCAATTCGGCAAGTATCCTCATGCTTCTGGCACGTTCATTCAAAGTTCTGTTCATGCGCTTTCATTATCCTACTTCCACGCAAAATGATTTCGCCTATAGTTCTCTCATCGTGCGGGACACTATTGAAAAATAAACAAGTTGTCACAAGTTGCCAAGCCACTTTCGGTGGAATTAAATGCACCACCGAAATCATGAAAAAAAAATTAAATATAGCAACTTTTGTTGAAATTTGATAAATGGGATAATTTAATTTAGTCATTAAACTTTAAGGTATTTACAAATTAGTCCTTAGGCTTCAACTATAAATACCCTAGCTCATTTAGCTTCAAAATTATCCCAAAACATTCTAGCTTTCTTCCAATACTAGAGAATTTAGAGAGTTTCTTGAGAGTTGTTTTCCCATTTTTATCAATAGAGAATTATCATTGTTTTCTCATTGGTAGATCGAGAGAAGTTGTAATTCCTATTTTCTCATAGTGAAATTCTTCTACTGTTGCCCGTGGTTTTTACTCTATATTATTTAGGGGTTTTCCACGTAAATTTTGTGTCTGCTTTATCTTTATTTTTATTTTCTCAAATTATCAGTTGCGATTTTGCTCTATTCGATAGCCATCTTTTGCAACAATTGGTATCCGAGCCAGATTAGAGTGTGTAATATTTGCTTATTGTCTTTGTGGTTGCCACCAAAAGGTGGATCCTCCAACATAAGAAAGTAAGAAGTTATTACCCATTCTTTGAAGGTTCTAGAGAACTATTCACGATAGTGAAATAGTGGGAGCTACCCGTAAAAGCAACTATGGCAACAAAATTTGATATTAAAAAATTCAATGGGAGAAATTTCTCATTGTGGAAATTGCAGATGAATGTCATCCTGAGGAAAGACAATTGTCTAGCAGCTATCAGTGAAAGGCCGGTGGATTTCACAGATTACAACAAATGGATCAAAATGGACGGGAATGCTATGACAAACTTTCATCTAGCATTAGCAGATGAAGTATTGTCAAGCATCGAGGAGAATAAGATAACTAAGAAGATATGAGATCATCTCACCAAATTGTACGAGGCCACATCGCTGCACAATAAAATTTTCCTTAAGAGGAAATTGTACACTCTCCGTATGTCAGAATCTACTTCAGTGACGGAGCACTTAAATACACTGAACACGTTATTTTCTCAACTTACATCCTTAAGATGCACAATAGGAGAACAAGAACGTGTTGAACTTCTACTTCAAAGTGTATCTGATTCGTATAATCAACTCACCATCAACTTGACAAATAGTAATGTCACCAGTCTAGGCTTCGATGACGTTGCAGCTGCTGTTCTCCAAGAAGAAAATCGACGCAAGAACAAGGAAGACAGACAAGTAAATCTGCAACAAGCAGAAGCGTT